CAGGCTTTTTTTGTTTATTATAGAAATACACGCACACACAGTTGCAAACCACAGTGTCCTCATTACAAATGGGCACATTTTGAATGGGCGCTACTAACATGAATGAAATCCCCCCCCTAAATGTATAATCAAACTCATAATGACTGTTTTCATAATGGAGTTGCTGTGTTTTCTTTCATCACCATTTTACAAACAGCATCCATTTGTGGGTGTTTGTGTTTAGTATATGAACATAATATTCATTTCAACTCTTTGTGCTGTCAATTGTAGCTGTGCTAGTTTCTCTCCTCCCTGTTTCACTCTGTGTATGAGTCTTTTTTTTATTTGGTAAGACACGTTTAAAATGCTCAAGTTATTTTTTTTAAACAGAACACACCTATCCTGCATCTGGAGCCGTCCCCTCTATTAAGCAGTGAATCTGAACCTGCTAAAGCCAGTTTAACAATGATTACAAAGATGATTAGCTTGTATACAGAGCCTACCCAAGCTTCCTGGTGATTTTCAGTTGAAATATCCACCTTTAGATTCAGCTCCTCCACAGAGCCACAGAGGTTACAGCAGAAGCAGATGTTAAACTTATTATGTCAAACCTTTACTTTCATTTTCTACAAAATGCCGACCTTCCCATCGATTGCTTTCTGTGGGAAATCCCCATATTTGTGAATATTTACGGAATCGTTTTTGTGTAGTCTTAAACTCTGCTGTGTTTTCCTCAGCGCTCATAAATGTGTCATTTCCAGTCTTGCTTTTGCAGGACCCAAAGTTAGAGCTGAAGAATAAAACACATTTCTAGTATTAACAGATGAATTGGCTGCTAGTTTGAACTTTGTTATGTGTCTGGTGTTTCTTCTTCAGTCTGCAAACAAATCCTGGTTTGGAAAGGATTTTCTATCAAACGGTTAGGTGGAAATGAGGACAAATGGTATTTTTGTCTCAATAATTAAAAGTTTGTCTTTCTGCCTCTTCTGCTAGGATTATCTTCCCACTCAACAGGACATCCTGCTGGCTCGTAAACCCACTAAGGGCATCCATGAGTATGACTTTGAGATCAAGAATGTTCCCTTCAAGATGGTGGACGTGGGAGGGCAGCGATCCGAGCGGAGACGCTGGTTTGAGTGTTTCGACTCAGTCACCTCGATCCTCTTCCTCGTCTCCTCCTCCGAATATGACCAGGTAACAAAATTAAAGTAAACACCGCTGCTGCATCAGATGCAGAAAGAAACCATGGCATCTCATTTCCTGCCACTCACAAGCAAGCACGCTCAATACAGATAGGATGATAAGAAGCACATTAACCAGTTTGTTCTTGACAATAATGTGTGGTAACTTTTGATAACGTTTCATTGATGCTTCTGCTTGTGCAGCTGCAAGACTTTCCTTAAGACGAATTAATTATTTGAGTTTCTAACTAAAGCTCTGATTTGACCACCACTTAGATGTGCAAGTGACAACTTTGGTTCATTTATTTGCTAGTCGTGCTGTATTTATTTACCATGTTTCCCCTTCCGTCTTCAGTATTCTAGCGACAGGCTGATGTGAATCCCCAAAATGTGACTGATATGTTTAAATGGGCACCAACAGCATGAATCGGTCTGTTCTTCATCACATTTACAAGGCTCAGTTCGGGGGGTTGTGGTTTGGTACTTTTTCAGAGCGGTGGGAAAACAGTGAGAAGACTTGCAAGACAACATTTTACAAGTACACATTAAATTGTGATGGATTGAAGTATTTACACAAACGAGAGGCTGAAATGTCCAGCAGAAACTTGATTCGAAGCTCAGAGCAGATGTAAGGATATTGCTTTGCTGCTAACTTTACACAAACTGAAATTATCTCAAGCATTAATGGAGCCAACTAACTTCTGATTGGTTGTCCCTCGTATACAAAAGGCTTGAATGTCAGGCAGGTATGGCTTCTTTGAGAGAACCATTTAGAAGAAAAGACCCAAGATTAGGAAAAAACCTGTCTGAAACTGAGTGTTTACAGTAGTCTGAAGCCGAATTCCTTGACAATATTTAATGTGAGTGAGTTTTATGAGTGTCCACCATTATAACAGTATATAAATGGCTGAAAATAAGGAAGAGAATGGGTCCCCTTTTAAGGATTCCAATGGCATTGCTTTCTTAATGGTTGAATGTGGAATCAAGCTGCTTGAAAGCAGATGGAAGAATTATTTGCCTCTGATTGAACCATCTCAAGTGTTTTGCCATCATAAATATGTTTTCTGGGACTTAACCAACTTCATTTTAGCTATGCTGGCCGCTAGTTTCAAGTTCCTCACTGTTTTCCTCATTTTGCTGTAACTGACTTAAAAAACAAGCTCTTGTTTGATTTGCCCTGTGCAGCATACCAACTGTTGTTGTAAGAGCCATGCAATAGCAGGCTAACCCAAATAGCCTAGTTTTTTTTGGGGGGGGGGGGGTTTCTCGGGGTTTTTTTTTGTTTTTTTTTAACCTATTGCACACCATAAAACCACAGTTTTAATCCAAATTGACTTTGGTTAACAGGAAATGCTATTAAAAGGAAGCTTATGAATACCTGACAGGATGTAACATGTACAGGTTAAAGGATTTACACCATCCGTACTGGCAGTAGTATTTAATTGTTCCGTTATCTATTACAGGTGCTGATGGAGGACAGGCAGACCAACCGGCTCCGTGAATCGCTCGACATCTTCGAGACCATCGTCAACAACCGTGTCTTCAACAACGTTTCGATCATCCTATTCCTCAACAAGACGGATCTGCTGGAGGAGAAAGTGAAAAACGTTCCCCTCAAGGACTACTTTCCCGAGTACAACGGACCGGAGCACAGCCTGCCGGACGTCCAGGCGTTCATGGTGGACTGCTTCCGGGCCAAGAGGCGCGACTGTACTCAGAAGCCCCTGTACCACCACTTCACCACCGCCATCAACACGGAGAACATCAGGCTGGTGTTTCGGGACGTCAAGGACACCATCCTGCACGACAACCTCAAACAGCTCATGCTCCAATGACCTCTGACAACCTGTGAAAATGGAGGACCTGAACAGGGACAGACCACCCCCTCGCTCATGAAGAGGACTTGGGAGAGAGAGCAGCATCAGAAGAATCCGATGAGACGTCAGCATTCTTCTTCAGACATTTTATATTAGTTTTTACTCTCCTCTTTGAAGAGTTGGCCCTCTTGTAAGTTCAGGATTTGTTTGAGGAACGAGTAAGCCGTGCACACCGTGGTAATATAAATGGAGAAGAAGCCTCGTTTGGATCTTGGATGACATCTGAAACCTGCTGCTTCACCTCCTCTGTCCTGAGCTCTGCATTCACAGCACGAGTTACTGGGGCTATTTTCTCACAAGGTGTCATTGCTGGCACCAGCAAAAGGTTTTCCAAAATGAGACGCACGGCTTCCAAACAAACGCAGGAATTAATCTAAGTAACGTTTAATTACCAGTACTGTGGGTGAGAGTTGATTTGCCGAGCACTGAATTCATCTAGTCCAAATTTACTGTTACGTCTGTTGAAAGTTGTTGCTAAGTCATTTTAGTCACATTTGGCGGTCATCAGCTTTTCTTTTTTTTCCATTTCAGATCAGCAGGTTTAACGCCCGCGATCAGAAGTGAAGACGTAGTAGAATTACAGTTAAAGATTTGAGGAGTGAACTGGCTCCAGCACTGGCACCTTGTTTTGCAGAAAACTGCTTGACGAGGGCACAACCACAACAGACTGAACCTTTTATTTCCTTTGATATAATTTCTTAAGACTTAATCACTATTTAAATGTTGCTTTATTATTAAATCTTTAATCAGATAATTAAGATGCCAGTTTCCGTATAAATTGTCCCTTATTTCTGGGTGTTCAGAGGGTAAAAAGTTTACCTTCTTAGGCAGGTGTGCCACTTAGTGAACATGCAGTCCACTGTTTTCTCAGGGTTGAATCAAAACCGGTGTCGATGCTGATGTAATTGTTGATGAGCTAACTGAATATTCTGATTCTGATTTTTATTATTTTTTATTTTTATTTTTTAATTCTGAGTGGTGCGACTCAGCCAGGCCTCCCTGCCGTTAGCCGGGTGGTGTTTAGCACCGTATCCTCCTGGCTTTGACCACTGACATTGACCCAGAACCCCCAGCTCCTCCCTTTCTTTGTTTCCATCTGTGATTAGATGCCTTGTAAAGGGACAGTCCTCCCCTGTTTGCCTGAATCATGAATGTGTGTTAATAAATGTACAGAGATTTGCTCTAGATTGCTTGAATATACTATAACCAATATTAATGTGGTAAGATATAACCCATTATGTGAGAATATCTGTGTTGGCACTGACTCCAGGCATCTCTGAAAACCCCTTGAACATTTTTTTTCCTTGTGTTGTTTAGATTTCCCTCAAAACTACATTTTGAATTATATGTGACCAAAAAAAAAAAAAACGACAAACGAAAAGACAAAAGCTTGAATACTTTTGTTGGTGACTGTATTCTGGTCTGGGCCAATCTTTGTTAGAGCACCATTTCCAGGCACTGTTAAAATCTCTGCTTCTCTGCCAAAAAATCACCCTGTGCTTTTTCAGGACTGTGCACACTGACCATGTCCAGTTTTACTCCAAAAATGCAGCTCGTGAGAGTTTCACTTTGCTTCCAGCCCTGGCTTTGTAAATACTGTAATCTGTTGCCATGTAAATAATATCCAGGTTTATATCCTATATGTAAATGGTTGTAGAAATGGCTGACTTTTTTCCCATCCCGATTTTTTTGCTTTTTCAAATCACAGCTTTTCCAATGAAGATGACTTTTTGATGTAGTGTATTTGTTTTCCATCACGGCTTGTTTTTGAAATTCTTGCTTGTTGTCTCTCATGCCAGTCTAACCTTCTCAATAAAATCCACTTTTCTACTTATGTCTTGCTCTCTTGATATGTTTCCTTTTTTTGAATAATTTGGTTCATTGTGAATCGTGAGGTGCCATTTTATGCCTGAAAAACTTGATTTTATTGTCTTTGGAAATTCACTGTGAATTTTTTTGAGGTGCAAATTTAAACCTGGGTTCTTTACCACTTAGACCGAAATCTAATGATTAACAAAACACGAGGACCACGTGTTACGTAGATAAACCTTACTGTACCGCTAAGACGTCTTTTTTCAGTACTCTGCCAGAAAAATACGTAAGCATTTCTGCGGATACATAGTTTCCGACGCCTCAAGCGTACCTGTGAAACGTTTAGTGGTTATTTTGACTTCATCCAAAAATGCGTCGGCATGTTTGGGGACTTCAAAAGGCGGAAGTGGGGAGGAGTGAATCATAAAGTCGACGCAACACACCCACCGAGCAGAACCCTGCGTGTTCGTACAAGACTTTTATCTGTCACAGCAATGTAACGGGCTGTACCGTTATAAACCACATCCAAGGGGTGTAATTTTAAACTAGGGCGTCAATATATTGATGATTTTACGATAACTTTTGATTTTACATTCAGGCTTCGAACTCGCTACCTAAAAGCGGGGTCTTTCACTTCACCGTCGCGACTCTGAGAACTTACTTAACCGAAACTGTTTAAAAGTGACACTCTCGCGTGTAAATGTGATAATTACTGACGCTTCACCTTAGCGCTGTAACTTTGCTGCTCTGAGTCATGCTTTCACCCGATTGGCAGTTTGACAGGCGCGTGCGAAATGAGCTGTGGTAAGTGTCACACAACTGTAATTCAGAATAGCGGAAAAAACACGTGATATAATAACGACCAATATATTAATTTGCTGAATTATAAAAATATGTTTATAGCTTCGTCTAGAAGCCGGGGTGACAAACATAAGACCCGGGGGCCAGAACTGACCCACCAAAAAGTCCAATCCGGCCTACTGGACCTCTATGTAAAATGCGAAGGAGGTCATAAAATTTGGACTTTCAACTATATTTTCACAAATTACGCAGCTGATGCTATAAGCCATTTGTGCTACAAAAAAGTAATAAAGTAACAAACACAAGACAGAAAATGTCCAGTTTCTTCACTAACTACTAGAAATTTCTGTTTTTATTTCAAATGTGTCTTCAGTAAAATAAAGGACATTTTCTGTAAATTAACAAAAACTTTCTCTTTATAATTACTGGTAGCTGGTCAATGAGCTACCAGAACTTTTCCTGTAATTTTACACATTCATATCTTGCAATTTAGGTGTGAAGAATCATGCTGACAAACATGTCCTTATCATGTACAGTGGGGCAAAAAAGTATTTAGTCAGCCACCGATTGTGCAAGTTCCCCCACTTAAAATGATGACAGAGGTCAGTAATTTGCACCAGAGGTACACTTCAACTGTGAGAGACAGAATGTGAAAAAAAAATCCATGAATCCACATGGTAGGATTTGTAAAGAATTTATTCGTAAATTAGGGTGGAAAATAAGTATTTGGTCACCTCAAACAAGGAAAATCTCTGGCTCTCACAGACCTGTAACGTCTTCTGTAAGAAGCTTTTCTGTCCCCCACTCGTTACCTGTATGAATGGCACCTGTTTGAACTCATCATCTGTATAAAAGACACCTGTCCACAGCCTCAAACAGTCAGACTCCAAACTCCGCCATGGCCAAGACCAAAGAGCTTTCGAAGGACACCAGGAAAAGTATTGTAGACCTGCACCAGACTGGGAAGAGTGAATCTACAATAGGCAAGCAGCTTGGTGTGAAAAAATCAACTGTGGGAGCAATCATCAGAAAATGGAAGACATACAAGACCACTGATAATCTCCCTCGATCTGGGGCTCCACGCAAGATCTCATCCCGTGGGGTCAAAATGATCATGAGAACGGTGAGCAAAGATCCCAGAACCACACGGGGGGACCTGGTGAATGACCTGCAGAGAGCTGGGACCAAAGTAACAAAGGTCACCATCAGTAACACACTACAACGGCAGGGAATCAAATCCCGCAGTGCCAGACGTGTTCCGCTGCTGAAGCCAGTGCATGTCCAGGCCCGTCTGAAGTTTGCCAGAGAGCACATGGATGATACAGCAGAGGATTGGGAGAATGTCATGTGGTCAGATGAAACCAAAGTAGAACTTTTTGGTATAAACTCAACTCGTCGTGTTTGGAGGAAGAAGAATACTGAGTTGCATCCCAAGAACACCATACCTACTGTGAAGCATGGGGGTGGAAACATCATGCTATGGGGCTGTTTTTCTGCCAAGGGGACAGGACGACTGATCCGTGTTAAGGACAGAATGAATGGGGCCATGTATCGTGAGATTTTGAGCCAAAACCTCCTTCCATCAGTGAGAACTTTGAAGATGAAACGAGGCTGGGTCTTCCAACATGACAATGATCCAAAACACACCGCCCGGGCAACAAAGGAGTGGCTCCGTAAGAAGCATTTGAAAGTCCTGGAGTGGCCTAGCCAGTCTCCAGACCTCAACCCCATAGAAAATCTGTGGCGGGAGTTGAAAGTCCGTGTTGCTCGGCGACAGCCCCAAAACATCACTGCTCTCGAGAAGATCTGCATGGAGGAATGGGCCAAAATACCAGCTACTGTGTGTGCAAACCTGGTAAAGACCTATAGTAAACGTTTGACCTCTGTTATTGCCAACAAAGGTTATGTTACAAAGTATTGAGTTGTATTTTTGTTATTGACCAAATACTTATTTTCCACCCTGATTTACGAATAAATTCTTTACAAATCCTACCATGTGGATTCATGGATTTTTTTTTTTTTTCACATTCTGTCTCTCACAGTTGAAGTGTACCTCTGGTGCAAATTACTGACCTCGTCATCATTTTAGGTGGGGGAACTTGCACAATCGGTGGCTGACTAAATACTTTTTTGCCCCACTGTATATAAACTAATGCATACTGTTGAAATTACACTTCTTTTTAATAAATCGAGATATCCCAGGAATTAAATGTGCAGTTAAGCTACTTTACAATGACAGAAAAGGGATTTTCACAGTTCTAGCTAATTTCAAAGTGGCCAGTATGCGTCCCTTGATGTAAAATTGATCTAGAGACTAGGTATCAACTATATGGCCTGTTGGCCAGACGTAGGTCCAAAAAGCTCCGATTCTGCCCACTGGATGGCTTTGGAAAATATGGACACTTCAAATAAAGATTATAAAGTCCTTTATTTCTTGCAGCTCTTACAATTTTTTTAAAATCAGCATTTCTTTGTAATATGGAAAAGTTGAGATGTTTTGTTAAATAAAATTGCGCTTATTTTTCTGAGGGATTTTTCTTATCTCAGGGAAAACAAGGGTAACTTTCATAGTGCTGAAAGTTAAACAAAAACAGTTAAGGCTTCACTGATCTAGCCTATTTAACTTGAAATTTGGTTGTATGTGCCCCATGATAAGCTCGACACCCCTGGTCTAGAGAACCTACCGGTATTATTCAGGTGACAAGGTCAACCTTGTAACTACCTTACATTTCCCATTAATCGGGTAGTCTTCAATTCAAAGCAGTATTTTATTGACACTCATTATGGGTCTGAATGTCATGGTAGTTTTGGGCTTTTAATTTCACTATTCCATTGACTTTGTGCAATACACTAGTACCACTGACAGCTTTCTAAGGTCAGAAAGTTTCATCTTTACTTCTTCAAACATTATGGGTCAGTCTTTCTCTCATCTGTCCATAAAACCTTTCTCACATTTCGTTTGTCCTTGTGGGCAGCTGCAAATTTCAGTCAAGCTTGACGGTTTTTATTTTGGAGCAGGGGCTTCTTTCTTGGTTGGCACGCTCTCAGTCCATAGCTATGTAAAACTTGCTTCACTGTAGACAGTGACACTGGTGCTGCAGTTTCAAGTTAATTGCAGGCTTGAGCCTTGTTGGTTCCCAGGTTGTTCCTGAACATCCCAATTAATTACATCTTATCTGAGGAGGACAGTTTGGGTCCTCTTCCAGACCTTGGCAAAGTGGTGGCACATCCAACATGTCTTAACTGATGATTTTGGGATCTGCAGCTGTTTAGAAATTGCTTCAAGAGATCTTCCCAACTTGTTTAAATCTAAAATTGCCTTTCTGAGATCTTCACCAAGTTCTTTGGACTTTCTCATTCAATGAGTGCTGTCAAAGAAATCCATTTTATGCTGGCAGACAAGTTACCAGTTGTACTGTATGTATACTTTTAACCCTGTGTGAATTAGAGAAAATGCAAAGTAAAGCCAGACCTGTGCACTTATGTATTGTTTTTAAAGTCATTAAAGATGTATGTTGTATAACCATGCTACTTTGGAAAAAGTTAAGTTAAAAGTCAAAAATTACCACGACATCAATGCCCATGATGTGTAGATGTAAACTTCAGACCACAACTGTACGTGTGACATATTTTGAATGCAAGGTGTGTTAAACATGTAGATTGGGAACCAGAAGAGGTGTCGGCCCACCAAAGGAACCAATCTTTCCAACTGGACTGCTCTGCGAGTGTAAAAATGTAGTGACATTTTAATTTTAGTTATTTTTGTTCCTAATGGCTGACCTTAACTTATTCTTCTTTACAGTAAAAGAAAGGATAGGTATTCTGTTTTGTGCAGCTGATTTTCTGGTCTACTTAACATCAAAATGGACTTTATTTAATTATTTAAAAAAACCCCAACAACCTCAAAAGCAATTGGTGCAGTGGTTAACACTGTTGCCACACAGAAATAAGGTTCTTGGTTTGCACGTCCTGGTTGGGTCGGGGGTTGGGTGATCCAGTTTCCTCCTACGATCGTGCATGCATGTTAGGTTAATTTGTGATTCGAAATTGTGTATGAGATCATAATCAGTATGTTTATGCACACTTAGCTGGTGCTTGATATGATTTTCTTTCTTTAAAGATGAAATTGTTCATATAAAACTAAAACTATACCTTATTTATATTCAGCCATTATGTCCTTCCAATACATCTTCACTGGTCATTCTATGTTTGCCCTGGAAGTCCCATTTTGACCCGTTCTCTGTCACCCACCCACCCACAGAGGTGTGTCCATTCTGCGGGAAAACGTACAAAAGGTTGAAGAGCCACTTGCCACATTGCAAGGCAGCTGCTGCCTCTAAAGCGCCACCATCCAAACCAGATGTCACAGCAAACCAGACAGCATTGTCTTCTCAGCTGGACTCGGTTTTGTCCAGAGCAACAGCAAAGGGAAGGAAGTCATCATCATCAGTCATAACAGATCTACAAGGACAGACGCGTAAAAGGGACACAGCATCAGGACCATCAAATGCGACATCTTCATCACCACGAACATCATCATCCATGACATTACTTTCACCAACTACGAAGAAGAAACAAAAGCTGGTTGATCAAATAAAGACAAGCACCCTTTTGTTATCTCCATCTCCAGCTCTGCCCCCCACCACTTCTAAACCAAAAAAGAAGAGTCTCCGTGCATTGATAGAAGCTGCTAAGTATGACCAAATTACAAAGGAATCACTAAAGGTGTCTGAAACAGAACCAACTCTAAGCTCCAGAAACACAGCTCAGACAGAGCCCAAAACTATCTCAGGCAAAGACTATGCCCATCTGTCTGCAGACGCTAAACCCAAAGATGCACCTAAGAAGACGCCAAAGACAAAGAATTATGTTAATCAGATGCTTTCCACAACCAAACAGAGTGAAAGTAGCACAAAATTCCCAGAGAAAAGACACAAGTTTTCGGAGGATGGCAAGCAGGAGATTGAGGATTCATCCATGAATAATTTTGTTTTGAAGTTAGGAAATGGCCACCAGGCAAAGATCACCCTCCAGGATGTTAAAGCCACATTAGGCCGAGCTAGATCGCCTCGTCAGTCCAGCAGGCCGAGCATCCTGAGCCAAATTCAAACTAATGACAACCTGTGCAGTAAAATCGGAGTCGATACAGGTGTTGGACCAGCTCCACTTTTAGAAGATAATCAAAAGTATGTTGCAACTCAGTCTGATGAGCTGCTGAGCCCTAGCCCACAACATGCAGGCCTAAAATCAGATAAGAAAATAACCTCAAAGACTAAACAACTGGCTTTAGTCCCTCTGCGAGATGTGCCAGAATCAACCCCTCCTACAGCTCCCTTCCTGCGTGCGTCATCTCAGCAGTGGCAAGCTATGCCTCCTCCAGTCAACCTGAATGAGGGGCTGAAGGTGAGCCATCACATGACAGGCCTCCTCACAAAATCGGCACCAGTGGGTCAGTTTTCCAGCCTTCTTTCCCCTCTTGTATCACAAAGTCTGCCAGTGAAGGTGGAGACAGTGGAGAAGCCTGAGGTCAGGAAGCAAAGCACTGCTGAAAATCCAAACGAAGGTAAGTATTTGGAAATAATTGTATTCCAGCCAAAATGTATACAGACCTGATGGTCCGGATTCTTTCCCTGTCTGACTTACAAAATAATATAATTAATGAATTATATTCAGACATTTGAACAAGTCACTTTGTGGCTCACCGCACTGTGTTAGGCGTTTTTCACAGATTTTATTGATAAAGTAGTTCATAAATGAAGAAAAATTATTGCCATATATTGTCAGTTTTACTGGGCCAGTACCAATAATAAAGACTTTGGAATAATATTCAGCTCGATTGTAGTGTTTCAGCTTCCTGATTCTCTGTCGGTGTCATGGATTACAGGAGCTCTGACACACCGGAGTCTTGGACAGGTGAGACTGAGGGAATTACCTAAATGGCTTGCCTGCAAAGCCCCAAGCCATCCAAAAGATGCTGTGGGAATGTTGCAAAGAGGTCAGTATCTCTCTCTCTCACACACACAGAGACACAGTATTTGTGCTACTCACAGCACAAAAGCCGCCCTCCCATTTGTTTGTCTGTCACTTCTAACTTCCTGTAACAGTGTTATCTCTCAGAAATGAGGTTTTATTGAACATTGTAGATGCTTGTAGTCAGATGTTACCTCAGAACAAAAGCATTATAGCCATCAGCTGTTAGCAGCCGCTTAATATCTGCTATACAGATGTGAGATTGGTGTCTATTCTTTAAGATTTGTGTGCTTGTCTTTTCTCAACTCTGTGCATGATTCAGGCTGGCAGTGGTATTACAGGCGGTATATTGATGTGAGGAAAGGAGGTGTAGGTGGACTGGGCATGTTGTTAGCAGGATACTGCGTGCTCAGCTACATCTGGAGTTACCGCCACATAAGTAAGTGTGTTTTACTAAGTGTGTGCTCCATTTAACTGATGGATTTGGAGATAAGCTGGTTTTCTTTCTTTTTTTTCCTTTTCCCAGAGCTTGATCGCTGGAGGAAGTATCACTAAGGGTCAAGGAAAGATACTTGAAGCAGCAGCATTGACAAAGAAAAGTCTCAGAACTTCAGGACTCCATATGATGAATTTGCACAGCATTTATAACTGAGAAACTGGTACCGTTACTTGTCAGCATGTAAGCCCTTCCCTTCAGCCAATTTTGTGTATTCTGTCACCAGCATACATTGTGGGAGCACTATATAGTAAATGATAAATAGTGAAGTAAGTGCAAAAGTGCCTTAAACTGAATTCTTTGTAGTGACCACAAGTGTACAACTCTTCTGGTTGGAAAACAAGTACAGGTGTATAGAAGTCTATGTCAATTCTCCAGTGAGTTTAGGGTCTCAGTAGCTAGTTTCAAGCTTGATTGAATGCAACATGCTTATTTTTTTAATTAAATGGTCACTTCCATATAAGCATACAGTTCCCCCTCAATTCAACCCCAGATACACTCATGACAACAGGACAAATGCTCATCTCTAAGCTTCACATTGGGACTGCGTTGACTTCATAGTGCTTCTAGAGTTTTTCTAGAAGCAAGTCTTGCCGTTGGGTTCTTGTTTGGGCAGTTTCATTTCAGTGGTCACTGGGACATAAAACTGCATGTGTGGTATCACCAGTCAGATCTGATAAAACTGGCTTAATCCTGATGACTTTTCCCCAAAATAAGCCTTTTTTGTTTCCCTGTTTGTCCTACTACCTTGTTTGCTTTTGCTGAATTTTCCCAGATATTTATATTTAGAATTGGGTGTTGTGTGTTTCTTTCAGTCTCTCTGGTTGTCCATCTTTTGTATAAAATCTAAAAGCATATGTTATGAAGACAGATTGAATGATTATGAATTTTCCTAATTAAATGAATTGCAAATGAATACAAAACTAAAACATGTAACTTTCTATCTCTAGGTGACCAGGATAAGAGTAGTTTCATTCTTATCTGTATAAGGTTTCTAAAATGAAAGCTTGTCATGCTAAATTGTATTATTTTAAAATGCTTATGTTTTTGTATGTTTCTTTTATTATTCCTGTCTTAATTTATTTCATGGAGAAAATGTTAAAAAAATAAGTAATTGCTTTAAAAAAAAAACCCAGCTTTTTTAAGGGTCAAAACATTTTTACTCATCAGTGACCACTGTGTGCTCCAGACATCCACTAGCTGTCACTGTTGGGTTATGTTACTTGAACCAAAGGGGGCTGGGCAGTCTAATGTCTGCTGTGCAGTTTTCTCAGCTCTTTTGTGTAGAGGCATCGGTGCTGGAGTCCATAAAAGGATTAAAGAGAACCAACAGATTTCTAACTTGATAAAATATTACTTTGGCAGCTGTGATGCAGAGAAACATGAAATCTAAATGTCATGACATCAATGAAAAGATCATATCTGTGCAGCAGAGGGTAACAAATCTGGTTTTCCTTTGCCACTGCTTCCTCTGTCACATGATGTGATTATGCATGCTTAGTCCATCAGTGCCAGTGTGTGAACCCTCACAGAATAGCAATGGAGGGAAATTGAAGGAGGTTTTCAGCCGGACTGGACCAGTTCCTTGTTGTACACAAAATGAATTTATTGTTGAATCTCCTAACTGCTGTATTGAACAAATACAAATAAAGAAACAACAGCATTTTCTTTTGTAATGACTTTACTGACACTGCTTCTTAGTCAACACAATAAAAAATAATTTTCTTAAGTTTTTTTCTTTACATTCTCTTTTTCTTCGTACAAAAATTATAAATATTTTGTGTCTAACTTTTTTTATACAAAACAACAAACTATACAAATCAAATGGGACAATGAAAATGAAGGCAGAAAACGCATCTCTGCACAAAAAAAAAAGAAAAAAAATGATGATGATAGGGGAGAAAAAGCACAGTTTGTTCCTACCAGGCTCTCAAGACCATGATATGCATTCTGATAACACAATAGTTTACAAACACTGGGTATGTCCCTATTTTGAAAGTCTAAAGTGAACATCCTTGTAGATATAAGTGCTATAGAGGCACAAAATCTTGCAGCAGTCGCTTGGAGGAGCAAATGCAAAATCTCACTTGACCCTCACTTGTCATTTGAGATTTGCTTTCAAAGCAAACAGCCCAGTTTTTCTCGGAAAGAAGAGGTCTGCAAGAGCTGAGGCAGAGATGCAGGCAGGCTGCCATGGCCACTGGCACTTAAATTAAAAAAGGGTCTTCTATCATCCCATATGAAAGGCCTTCAGTCTGTTTGTGTGGTCTATTAGCAAGCATATTTCACATACATGCTCATAGGAGAAAGGTGGTGCTGTCCAGAATCAACCCTGAGAGCATTTAATCAGGGCTTTTGTGTTGTTGCAAAAACAGAAGTAGAGGGACATTATTTAGGACTTTTAAGTCTTGGTTTAATAAAACAAAAACATAATCATTCTGAGTTCAGAGGAAACACTACAGGTTTTTTTTAAATAATTAGCCACAGAGCTGGTGAGACAAATGACGGGGATTCTGGATGAGACCACAGTCTCTCCTAATAATTTTGGTTGTGCTGCTGAGAAGGAAAAGAGCGAAAGTGTGAGAAAACTATCCCAGGGAACTAAGAAAACGCTTGGCAATAAAGTCAAAAGTATCGCAATCACACTACCAAACTACAGGAAATCAGTGTGTATGGTTGCCAATTAACACACATACACACACACACATTGACGTGTCAGGGTAGTAAAGCATAGAGAGAAAGATATGATTCATATATAATTATATGCAAAAGGCAAACAAACATACATACAATCAATGACCCTCCTGGGTCATTTAAACTGCTGACAGTATTGTCACGTTCTCAACGCTGGGGAACACATAACAACAAACAAAAACAGTCCTGTTTCTTTCAATGTCATTTAAAAGAAAAAAAAAGTTCAGAAAATTTAACATCTCTTCCTCAATCTGAGGACGTAGCTCCACAGACACAAACTCACTGTGAAATGATGAAGGTGGCAGAGATCTACAGATATGTCCTGTGTCTGTGTCGGGACTTGCATACCTTTAAGGTACAAAAGAAAATGAAAAAGGTGACTTAAGCACAAAAAAAGCATTGTAACACTACCATATGTGTCAATGGGACTAGTTTAACTGGCTTCTAGTGTGATTAAGAGGTTGTCCTTGTTACAGGCAGCCAAAAACACAAAAGCAGGCAAAAAGATTTTGGTTCTCTTTGACGTGTCCATCCAGTTCAGCCCAGCATACACCGCATATTGACTAAAGCCTTGTGTTTATATAGTTCCTGAAATAGGCCACAGTATGTTTAGTGCAACTTGCCTGTTTGAAGGTATCTCTACTGAGCTTAGATGTGAGGAGATCTACACCTCTCAACCATGAACTACTTGTACAAAAGCAACTGTTTGGTGCTTAGATGTAGAAAGAACAGAAATAAATGGATTTTCTGATATTTAGAGCTTCTTCATGTAAACACTTCCATATAAAAACCTACAATTAGGCACAGAGTCCCTCCTCCTCATCTCTCTTGTTCGGCATAGGTAGTGGGGTGGGGAATAAACAATAAACTGGCAAAAAGTATTAACTAGTGTGTGAAGAGAGGGACACTCTTGCATTCAGTCGCAAACCCTACCACTGTAAAATAAACAAAAGAACATTTTGCATCTGTTAGTACATTGCATTGCACACATTCCCGGGTCTTTATAGGTAACTGTAAGTGCATGTGTTCACGTAACACCTTTACAGACTAACTGACTTCAACATAAAATCCCCCTAAAATAACCCAAGGCAAACTACGTACATGCTACATGGCTGTGTACCACTAAGAACACAGACCTGAAAGAAGAGTTAGCCTCTCTTCACACAGGGGACATAAAGAAAAAGAAATGCACATACAAAAAAGAAGTAGAAACCATACATTGGGTGTAATATGGTTTATACATCTTAACATTCCAGGATGCTGTTGACTGCTGCCTCAAGAGCAGAATCTGTGTCAGGGTGAGGGGGTGAGGTGAGCTGAGGGGTATATGGAGGCTGCACAGGGTGGTGAGACACCTGGTAGTTTGTCGGGCCTCCTGACAATGCTGGGAAAGGTGAGGGTTTATTATGGGGGCAACTATTGGCAGCAATCAGGCTGTTGTTGCTGATGCCGCTGGGTCCGTAGAGTTGCTGGGATCTCTTCATTTCCAGCACGTTCTTGCTTTCGAAGTGTGGTGGATGAAGTCTCTCTGTTGAGCCAGGTCCTACAGGCTCACTCCCTCCTGGGTCTTCATAACCAGGCTGGGAGTCTGTTCTGTATGGTGGCTCCATAGAGCCTTGTTCTGACTCATTCCATTTATAGCTGGATATAGGCTGAGGCGGGGAAGGGGCTTGGAAAAGTTTGGATTTCGTCCCACAACAGAACTCCTCCAAGAAACTGTCTACAAACCAGACAGGGCAAAGTGTTAAATCAAAGTTAACTGAAAAGGGAATATTAGTTCACAATGGGATTCACTCCAATTCTGTTTTACCTGGGTCCACTAGTACCATGCGTTTGTCTTGTATCAAGGTGCTGCGCTCCTCTTGGTTGAAAGTCCTGTCGATCATCACCATTTCTGAGGACGGACTGAAACGCTGCACAGAAGAGTGAGGTTATGCTGTTAGCCCTGTGCATTTCCTAACATCCCTCACATCTAGTCATTAACTAGCGCGTGCACCTACCTCAGCTTCCACCATCAGTAGTCGCCTGTATTTGTTTACCATCCCCTGTGTCCTCATCAGCACCTGAGTTGCAGCTGCTTCAAATTCCTCATCCACTGGAAATTCAAAACACAACACACTTCTTATATTAAAAACAACAACTTTAATTCCGTAAAAGACTTGGGGTGAATCTAGTATTGTCATGACTGTACCCTGGGAGAACTCGTCCGGGCTGGGTGGAGCCCCCTGGAACACGTGGTACGGGATAAGTCTCAGGAGTGCGTCATCAACTGAAGTGAATCGACGTCGATCTGGGGTCTGAACTGCAACATGATCCTTCCTCACCTGCTGTAAAATCCTTTAAAAATAAAAGAGAAAGACACAAGTTTGTTAAATGACTGAAAGACAAAAGCACAACTACACAGGACAGATGGCATGTCAAAAAAACTCACATTTCTCCTTTTGTAAGCGTAGGAAGCAGAGGCCTCTTCTGTGCACTGACCTGTGATGGGGAAGTGTACAAACCAAAGATGTCATTACATTAGATTGTTCCACCTAAAAAAGACACACAAGCATGTAAAACAAACAGCTAACATACCTCAGAGTTTAGTATTGAATCCTGTACCATGGGTTTGATTGCTACAAGAGATCACACAAACAAAGCAACTTTATGAGTCTGAAATTCTGCAGCTTATATTGGAACATATTATATACACTGAAGCCATTGGCACCTCTTTTACCGTGGATGCTGCTGGCATGTGCTTGTTTGAGGGCAGGTGATGAAGAATTCTGAAAAATTTCAAGTAAAAGTTATGTTAGAGAGAGAACAAATAAGGAGAGAGCAAATTAATAAAAAGACTGCCATCTGTATACCTGTCTGTAGTCTTGTTGCTGTGTCACATTACCAGGTAAAGGGGACAGAGAAGTACAGTTCTGGGATGGAGTCACTAGAAGGCGTTGCACGGGAGTAGCCGACGCTTGGCTCTGATTGCAGATCCCTGTTGTAGCCGGGCCAACCAGAGTCAGACGTCCAGGAGCGCATGGTGTCTGCACGGAGGTGGAGCTCGCACAAGAAACTCCCGTCCACATCTGAGTTACACCTCCTCCAACCTGATTCCCGCTTACTACTCCCTGATTCAAAATTAGTGGACCAGCTGTTGGTGCATTGAAGTTCTGCGCTGCAACAATCTGCACTGTGTTTTGACTGGTAATTAGGGGATTTGAGTTGGGGTTGATGGGCCCGTTGTGGATGGTGCTAGATGAAGTGAGAGCCAAGGAGCTGGGTAGCAAGAACTGTCCGGCTGATATATTTGTCAGTGTAGATGCTTGTTGCTGCTCCAGGGGTGGTTGTACTACAATGGAGCCATTAGGTGTGTACTGTCCTGCAGGAGCAGCAGTATTAGTGTTCACTACATTAGTCACGGTGGTGGGAGTGGGCTGAAGACCAAGGCTGTAGACAGTCTGAGACCCCGGTTGGAGGGGTTTAGGCTGGATTGGTCTGACAACAGTCTGGGTCCCTCCTGGGCCTCTCTGTATGATGATATTTTGAAGCGGGATGTTTTTGAAAGGTAAGCCAACTTGGCCTTGGGTGGGAGCAAACACCTGCCCCCCTGTTGTTGTCCCTGTTGGAGCTACAGAAACACCTGGCCTTAGCACGATCTGTGGTGATCTTTCTAAGCTACTCAAAGTCATCACTCCGCCACCTGCACCAAAAGAACCCAACACCTGGATTGGCTGACCAGAACCATTAGGCAGTGACGGCATGCCTTGCAAAAACTGGCCTGCAGAGAACGTAGCAGTTGCAGTCGTTACCACACCTACCCCGCCTCCATAGTTCCCCGAGACCAGCGGGGAGGAGAAGGGAACAGGAGCTTGCACTAGAGTGGGAGCAGGCTGCGAGTCCAGTAAGGCTTCCTGGGCCAGCGTTTGCTCAGTGATATCAGCTTCCAAGAGAGATTTCTGAAGGATGTCAAAGGGCTGGTCCTCTCCCCCGAGATCCACCCCTCCAGGGGAGGTTTCAGGCCCCAGTTCATCCTCAATAAACGAGAGACTGCTAGAGAGTTGGAGGCCTGCCCCGGTCGAATCCTCGCCAAATTCACCCATTGTAGAAGAACCATCTTTGAGGCCAGTGTTGGAGCCAGTCTGAAGGAAGTATTGAGAGAAGAAAATGGAGAACTATTTGCATGTGAACTGCATATCTGATTTCAAAGTCAAAGGCTTCTTTTTATGCCCAAGTTAAGATATCAGGCTAATTTTATTTCAAATATTATTAGCTTTCTGTCAAAAATTGAACATGATTATCTATTATAGAATATAAAATACTAATATAATACTGTATTTCAAAGTTAATAAACACTGTTAGTGTTACAGAAGAACACAAACTGAAAATTCTTTGGTTAGTTCAAATAACAGATATTAATACAAAATAAAATCTCAATAAACCAAACGGTATTCATTATTTTGTATATATTCAAACTGTTCAAACACAAATAAATAGCACCCCCCCCCCCCCAAAAAAAAAAAAAAAAAATTCTATACATACCCTCAGTACAAATTCAAGAAACTATCAATTTAACAGAGCATAAACAAACCAGACATATCCACTCAGCTGTGGTCTGCTTATGCTCCAAGGCAACAAGTAAAGACATTTTAAAAGGCAATACCAGTGCAGTACACTCCAACGAAGTGGACAGTGAAGCTTATATATGGGTCAGATGCGCGATTTGACCACAAATCCGATGTGGCAGTGAAGTATGACACCGCTTGTTCAGCTGTCTCTCTGCACTCCTGTGCAGCTGGGAAAAGGTGTTGTTTGTCCACAGCCCAGAGACTGGTAATGAGGATCAGGTCCTTTCATCACCAGCCTAAATTTGACATTTTTAACTGTCGTTGTGAGATCACTGTCCCTCTTCATTTTCTGTCATACCGCAAACAAATGGTAAATGGCCTGTATTTATATAGCACTTTACTAGTCCCTAAGGACCCCAAAGCACTTTACATATCCAGTCATCCACCCATTCACACACATTCACACACTGGTGATGGCAAGCTACATTGTAGCCACAGCCACCCTGGGGCACTGACAGAGGCGAGGCTGCCGGACACTGGCGCCACCGGGCCCTCTGACCACCACCAGTAGGCAACGGGTGAAGTGTCTTGCCCAAGGACACAACGACCGAGACTGTCCAAGCCGGGGCTCGAACCGGCAACCTTCCGATTACAAGGCGAGCTCCCAACTCTTGAGCCATGATCGCCCACAAACAAGTGTCTAGAACTGCAAACTCCCGTACTGTGTGTGCACTGTATTTTTCAGGTAATTGCAGATAAACTGTGCATTGTGCTGGGATAGCACTGCTTCAGATCTAAAAGCGATTCATGATGTTACCTGCCTTTGTCGAAACATGCTACTCTGTGTCTTTGTCGATCTTTAAACGGTAAGAATATCTCCACAATACCGAATTCCCTTTAACAGAGTCTTGGACACTGTGCACTGGGGCTCTTGTTTTGTAATGCTGTAGCTGACGTTTTGAACATTTTTTCTTTTATCTCACTCACACTTCTAACGTAGTGCTCTGTACTGCTGTGTATGTGTGTGACGACCTAAATTGACATGGCTTTAACTCTGCTCCAACCACGATTGGTTCAGTGTAGAGCTATTGTCATCGTTCTTTTGTCTTGTCTGTCAAAAAAATGGACGGAATGAGTTCGATTGACTTTTTATTAATCGTTACTCATATTTCTGTTGAGGAAAAGTTATCCCTGGTAGTTATCGTTATCATTTTATCATCCACTCCTAATGATGAACTGTAACAAAATGTCCTTGTGGTTTGGCTTGGATCAAGGTAATCATAGGTATACTCACGGTGTCGTTACCAAAGAGGGATCCATCAGACCCATAAGCTGCGTTTGTTACATCATCCTCCTCAATCTGCAGGAACAAAAGACAAGCGAGTGAATGGACTTGGGTAATTCTGGTGTTTAAGGAACATTTCTAAGGAAGTCATTCAGACAAACTCTGAATTCTCCAAGTGTCACTCACAGACTTGCTGTTGCTGCCATGGAGATAGTCATTCAACGCATCTACATCTCTGAAAAAGATAAAGAAGCAACATCTTTAGCAGTTTCTTTTTATTTGTGTCACTATCTGTGGTTTTAAAGTTCCCTGACATTTGCTTTACTACATGTGTCTTGTGCTTATGACCATTAAAATATTCACTTCCCTTATTCAATGAAAGATTTAAAACCAAAAAAACAGATCTTGCAGATAGTTGTGGCACTGATTTTAAAGGCAACTATATATTCACAAGTATAAAACTGTATGGCCCGGGGTGTGGCAAGAAGAACTCGAATCTTAGTGCAGATTTTATAATCTTATAACGTTTACCCTAAAATATCCAGAAGACGGCGATCGTCATCATCATCCATGACACCTGAAAGAGTATGGAAGGCCATCAGATGAGGACATGGGACACGCTAAGGTCTAATCACTGAACAGTGGAGTAAAAAAAACTTGTTTTTGTTTTACTCTAAAGTAGAAGTGCTTGAGCTCTAAATGGCTGGCATGTTTTTAGACATTTCACTCACAGGTTTCCAGCAGGAAGCATGGGCTCAGTCATTTAACACCCTTTCTTTCCTGCAAAAGGCTGGGCTGCAGAGTGAGAAACTTCATTTAGTAGAACTACATAACTGGACATGTATGTCTGATAAGGGGCGTAAGACAGTGCAGGCAGGTGCTAGATAAAAGAATGGTTCAAGTGTGAAACAGGGGTGTGGACAGGAAGTTGGGAGGGGGGGGGGTACATATTTGCTATTCAGTACATAAGGACAGAATGGCCTTCATCCCCTCCTACAAATGCTTAGCTATGACAAACTCCCACCCATAAAGCTTCTCTGCTGTCCCACATTGGTTGTCTTTCCAGTGTGCAGAGTGAAAAAGAGTATTTGAGTGTAAATAACCCCACCCTGCAACATTTATACATTATAGTTCTGGTTGATGTTCTGGGTTTCATCTCTCCATTGAAAGAGGTATTGGCTTTATGTTGTGTCAGTCAGTCAGCTTGGTGCTACTTAATAATAGGGGGTTTAGGGGTTGTTGTTTTTTTTAATGGCACTTAAAAGATTCAATATCTGTAAGTAAATGGTTGTGGCTGCTTTATTTACTGTATCACATAATAATAAAAAAAAAAACTCATGTAATCACTAATAGAGCATGTGAATAAAATGGTTGTATCACATACAATTTTATTTTGCTGTGTGTGTGTGTGTGTGTGTTTGCAGGTGACTGGGGAAATGTAGGTTTTGTTTTCCCATGAAAGGCGACTGCAACTCTACAAAATGGCTGTTACCATGCCATAGGCTGTCTTTACAGCAGAGCCACGTTGAGCCTCCATCTTTGGTTGAGCGAGAACAAAGACAGGACAGGGCTGCTGCACAAATTAGGCCGTTTACACGGACCGTGTTTGGAGTTTAAAGCAAAAACAACGACCGCATGAGCGATTGAAATCGCTGGAAAATCACGGTTGTTTTTTGTGTGTGTCCACAGCAAATAACACGACATTTTCTCGTCGAGCAAACGAGTGTCCTTTATCCTTCGAAACTTGTTACAGAAAACCATGTCGAGATTCCGAGACAAAAACAACGGAAACTAAGCCATAAACACTTCACAAAAAAAGGCATCAAATACGGGCTGTAAAAATCTATATTATCCAATTAAATCCAAGGTGCAAAAAGTTAACGTTTACAAGCGTTCACCTCAAATTGTAATGTTAGCTACATTTAAAATGAAATGACCGAGCTGTTTATGCTGGCCAGAATAATAACCTTTAAAAAAATGTGATCTAGCTCGATATCGCCAGATTTGCATCTTTAATGCCAGTTTTGATCAAACTGGCATATTTCTGGCGCATTTCTTGTTGCATTTTTTGCCTAATTTCGAGCTCAAATTCACAACCACCAGCAAATCCAGGACAGCACGTGCGCTTCGACGCAAATCCACGGCTAGTCCCCGCCGTTAAAGCCGCACAAAAACACGGCTAATGTACAGCTTGCAAGTTTTATTTCCAAAAATAGACTGAATCGACAGAGAGTGATAATCGCATTCAAGCAGCACAAAACGCCCGTCGTCGCTGACGTGCTCTTTCTTTCTCTGTTGGGGAAGGCTTTCATTTGTCCTCTATGTGGCTCGTCTGCCAGCATGAAAAACGTCACATTTTGCCTCGATATAGCCGAATCGACGCGTTTCAACCCGGGACTTTTGTCCTCAGTCCGTGTCCTGCTCGGGTCTTTAACTCAGCGGCTCCGCCACATTTTTAACTTTAAATATCGGCCTGCGCTGGTTAGCTAGCCGCGGCGTCGATGACGACGCCTATTTTGAAAGCCAGAATCCGTCGAAAAGGGCTAAAACCGCGTCGAGCCATAAATATTTATCCCGATTAGCATAACATAAAGACGACTCAAAAAGAGGCAAACCCTTTTACTCCTGTCTCACTCCTTCTTGAAACCCAATATCTCCATTTGGCAACTTTTAATTTGCTCCCCCCCTCCTTCTCCTCCTCCTCCTTCTCCCTCTCCCACTCATATATTTTTCTCACTGTCCCTGCTCTGTCTCGGATAGATTTTTCTCTCCGCTCAAACTCTCTTCCCTCCCTGAAGGAAGGGAGGAAGGAGGTTGTGTGTGTTTTTTCCTTGAAATTTTTATCACAAAATTATAATACACTCAAAGGGAAACTCACCGTCATGAAAAAGCAGTGCCTTGTCAACGGGGTTTCCTCGCCATCACCGCACGGGTTGTTGTTGGGGTAGTGCACACAGCGAAATCAGCGGTCCTCAACGACTGCATATGGCTCCATGCATTTGAATACGAAACCTTAAAAACAACCGCAAATAATTAATAACAATTTTTAATGCTTATGTGAATTATAATTACATGTGGCTCTGTCTTTATAAATAGCGGATAAACGTTATTACACTTAATCACTGCCAACGGTAGAGGGCGGGCCTTTGTGTGTGCCACACCTGGATGTTGCTCAGGTATGCCTAGTTACCTGCTGAGAAGCCTATTTCGTATTCAGAAAGCAGTCAGACTTTATAAGAAAGCAAAGCGTTTACATTTATTACACTTATTGTTTTTTTTATATGTAATTCAATCGCATTTTACACACACTTTCGAGTAAAAATAATATTTCTTCCACCTTCTAGTGTTGTATGTGATGTCTTTATTATAAAAACGTTAAAGAAAATATTATTTAAAAAAGAAGTTCAGTGTAAATACCTCATATTTCTATACATAAACACTTATTGTAAATGGTCTTTAAATGTATTTGTTGTCTATATCTGTAATGTGTTTCACAAAAACCACACTATAAATATGGGTAAACTGTAGGGAGCAGGGTAGATAAAATGAAGGTGATATGAAAAAAAATTAAAAGGTTATTTGAAATATATAAATATTTCATTGAAATATATAAATATAAAACGAATGGAAATATAAAAAGAAATTAAATAAATAATGCAAATGTTCAAGTATTTACTGTTCTTTATTTTGTTTTACTTTAAAATGATGAAAGAAACATTTTGGTCGAGCAGTATCATTAAATGCGTTTTATTAATAATACACATACATATTAATATAATACTATATTCTATTACACAGAGGCTAAAATAAGCTCACTTGCTATAATTAGCCAGTCACTGGCTTCAAATATTTTGTTTCATTTTGTTCAAAAGGCAAAGAAGTCTGTCGAAGCTTATAAAGAGACCAAATGTAGAAGAAATTATACAATTTTGTGGTTAAATTGCAGGTTTTATTTCATCTTTGAAAAAGAAAAAAATATATATATATATATATATATAGTTTTTAAAATTAGCTTAAAAACTCCGATGCAGCAGGTGGCGGTGTGCCACAGTGTTTATGTTGGCTTTGCGAAAGTCACGAATAAGAGGGTCATCACTTCCGACACAATTATCAGTGCGACAATATGGCAGCGGTGATTGAAGGTAACGAGGAAAGTGGGTTTTCTGGCGAAAGTGGGGCGGCCAGGATACAAGAGCGACTTCAGAAGCGGCACCAGGCAAGGATCGAGGATGCCGAGCGGAGGAAGGAGGCTAAAGAGAGCCATTCTGTCGCCGAGGAGAAGAGCGAGTATTTCTCCAGCGCCTTCAACAGGGAGCGGGCGTGTATAGAGGAGCTACTGTCCAGCTGTTCCGGAGCTGAGCGCGCTGTGGTGACTGAGAAACTAGAAGAGGCCACGACCAAAACTCTCCAGCTGCAAAAGTTTCTGAATGACAGTATGCAGTTTCTAACGCAGTACGAGCTCAGGCAAGCCCAGGCTGCTCTCCAGAAACTCCAAACCTCGCTGTCTGAGACCAAAGAGGAGGCTTTGCCCAGGAAGAAGTTTGCCTTTCGAACTCGCACCAAGGCAACAGATAAAGCCTCTGCACAAGACGCTCATCCCCTTCCCCGTGATGAAGGCACACCTGCAGAGACAGGTAGGACCCAGGTGGATGGAGCAGCACCCGCCGAGCAGTGCGGCTTCTCCAACATGACCAGTGAGTTTCTGACCAAGACGGCTGAAGAGATCCAAAAACGAGATGTGCTTCTCACTCACCTGACCAACTGCAAAGTCCATCTGTTCGGCTCCCCTAGCACGCTGCACCTGAAACACATCGACAGCTGTGAGATCCTGTGCGGGCCGGTGTCCAGTTCAGTTTTTGTAGATAATTGCAGAAACAGCGTGCTGGCCTTTCCCTGTCAGCAGCTGCGGACCCACAACACAACCGACACACAAGTGTATCTGCACGTCACCAGCCGAGCCATCATAGAGGACTGTCACGGAGTGAGCTTTGCCCCGTTCACATGGTCCTATCCCACCCTGGAAGAGGACTTCACTGTGTCTGGGCTGGACCAGGCCCGAAACAACTGGACTCAGGTGGATGACTTCAACTGGCTTGCTGCTGGGACACCTTCCCCAAACTGGACTGTTATTCCAGAAGCAGACAGAAAAGCCAACTGGGACTCCTAGAATGGGACTTTTAATGACCTAATGCACTAAAACAAATGATAGTAGAAATTTTACATGATCTGCTTGCGGCCAGAATGCACATTTAATGTCCATTTTATTTCATGGATATAATCTTCATTAATATATTTAAATAAAAATTCACTTAATTTGGACTGTTACTGTGTTTTGTTTTGTTTTTGTTTGTTTTTCCAAAATAAGTCTAATTCTTAAGAGTCTAGGGTCAAAGTCAGATTTCAAGTAGTTTGGTATTGGGACAGGCTGAGCTTTTCAGAATCACTTGTTTTACCTAACAGACCAAAACATGAAGATTTTCAGTTTCATGTTATTATTGCAATTCAATAGCTGTCAGATTTTTACAGCTTATATGAAGTTTTGAGTCTATTCACCACATTTATAAAGAGGTGTATAAACAGAAGAAGTATTCATAAATTCATACTGCATGTGTACCTCTTTGGGATTAACTCAGGACATTTTCCAAAATCAAAAATGGTACATAAGGGGAGGAAGAGTAAGATCTGGGAGTATAAAGGGGCCAAAACATACTCAATCATTATCTATGGTCTGCGTTTAGCTGTGGAATTTCATCATCCATATCACGAGGGATGTTTTCACTACTTGGGCAATGCAGGAAATCAAACTGGTTAAGTCTGATCCAACTTTGGATGTCTTTGAAAACCTCACCAGCCATATTTCAGAGAACTCAATAGGTATTCCCTTGTGTAGCTGTTTATGTCATAAACTCCCATGCAGAGGAAAAAAAATACTGCACTGAAGAACAGGTAATATGCAGTTAAAAAACAAGTTTGTGGACATGGGTTAGTCACTGACCCAAGAACAAAGTAGAGCACCCTGTTGCAAATACCCTTCTTACTAATTTACTGATAAAGTTTCAGTAAGACTTGACCAACACTGAAGGAGCTCTAGCTTTCATGTGCTCTCAAAATGTGTTTTCTGATGACCATAAAGTTCAGGTATAATTAATTCGACCATTTTTATATTGAATAATTTTTGCATTGAAATATGTGGGGGGAAAAATGGGAGTAGTGTTTACAGTTAATGTAAAATGTGCATCTTTTGAGAGATTATATAGGTTTTCTTGCAGAAGGAACGGAAAGTAAATTGTTATTACACAAAAATATTAAGACACCAAGTCTGAGATCTTTTATTTTTAAGTCTGTTATAGTTCAGGCTTTGTTTTTATACCGACTCTGCCTTTTAAAATTCCTGCCCACAAAGGTAATGCAAGTTACACAAAATAAAGGAGGAGGGGAAAAAATAGTAAGAAAAGAAAAGATCTCTGTGTTTGTATTTTATTTAAAATGCAGTCTAAGCCATTTAAAAATCCAAAAAATAAGAAGGAAACAAAATAGAATGCTATGGAAAAACGGAAGATAATAGAATAAATTGGCAATATAGAGCTAAATGGCTCCTAAAATTTAATAAAGCAAATAAAATAAAATGGCTTAATAAATGTAGTTAAAACAATCACAGCAAATATCTGATAATATAAAATGTAGTGGACAGTCCAGCTTTGAAATTAAGCGCAATAAAGAGTATTTTCTGCTAAACACGTGTCACATTATCAAGAGTTACTGCATGAGGTAGAGAAGAAAGAGCTTTTGGCAGCTGCTTCCTAAAAATATAGTCGTTCACTCAGGTTGTAGGCAGTATAAGACGCTACTGAATAAACCAGTAGTGCTGTGAAATATTCATTTGGCCAACAGTTTAAATAAATCATTGAATACCTGGTGTTAGCATGACATTCATGTCTATGACAACTGCAAACTTATGATTATAACACATAAATATTGTTAGTGAGACAGCGCTAAACACGCACAAAGATTTGATGAAAGACATTGTGAAAAGAGCATCAGGAGATTGGGCGTTCAGTGTTCCAATTGCATTTGGTAAACATTTAGCAACACTGCAGCTCTCACATCCAGCCACAAGGAGAAAGAAGAATAGACCGTTCAGGGAAAGGCCTGGCTTTGATCAGCATAAGTATCTGGCTCGTGTATGTGCCAGACACTGTGTTGGTTCTAACTGCCAAGATTGCAAATGACAACAAGAACATCAATGAAAGCAATAGAATATTTTTTATCAGCTTGCCAGACAAAGTTTACTGCAAACACTGAATTTTCATGTTTAATAATGTTTAAGCAAAATTTTAATTTGTCCAGTTTGTCACAGTTTGGTCTTGATTTATTAAGCAATTACTTCCAAAGTAAAGTCATAGTGGGGCTTTATTAACTCAGTGTTTTTGATTCGTTGTGAAGACATCTGGTTTGTGTTGAGCTTGTGGACCCCATACCTATGAATGATTAGGCTTTATCATTAGCCCTACTGTCATGTCCATTACCTTTGTCAACCATCTGCTGAAACTTGTGCTGCTCCTGATGTGTTTGATCAAGGCAACCATGACCACATGAACACTCAAACCAATTATGGCCCCTGGCAGCAGCTTACGATCAGGCTCATCTTCTGTAAATTGGATCAGGGTGCTTACAGGGGCTTAGCATGACGTACTGCAACTTTGAGTTTAATCATGAGGATCCCCGGCCATCCTCAACCTCTTTGAGAGAACGCAACATTAGCTTCTCCTGTAAAGGTTTGAAGAAATAAACCCTTTTGAACACTGAAGTTTAGGACACAATGGTGCAGAAGAACCTTTAAAATAAGGATCCGGTGCTGTTCTCCTGAGTTCTTTACAGCGGTTCTTTTGCCATAGGATGGATTACAGTCTGAGCTGACTCTTCTGTTCTTTCGGACCAGCCAGAGGACATACTGATTACAAACAAACAGGGAAGTGCAGGTTAGCATACTCAAGAACTTTATCTAAACCGAAGTGGAAATCTTGGAACTCCTGCAGTGTTTTTTACAAGCAAGGACACATCCCAGATTGAAGAATGGCTTTGTTGCCAGTTAAGTTTGATCTGAAAAAGCGAGTAAAGTTGGCTCAGACAGTCTGGTTCATGTACTGGTTTGCTGTGTTGGCCGGCGTGTTGGTCCTCAGCATGGGTCTGTTCTTCAAGATCGAGCTGCGAAAACGCTCTGAACTTATGGACAACAATGAAAGCCACTTTTTGCCCAATCTGCTTATTCTCATGGGTCTAATAGCCTGCAGCATCAACGTCTTTGGAGGCAAAGTGTGCTATGACTCACTGGACCCCGATAAGTTTGCAAAGTGGAAGCCCATGTTGAAGACCTACTTGGTATTCTGTGTGGGATTCAACGCCCTGCTGCTTGTCACGGCCGTGCTGTGTTTCTTGATGAGAATCCCTATGCAGTTCACCCTGGCTGAAGGGTTGAGGAACGGCATGAGGTACTACAAGGACACCGACACACCGGGACGCTGCTACATGAAGAGGACCCTGGACTTGATGCAGATTGAGTTTCGTTGCTGTGGAAATGACAACTACAGAGATTGGTTTGAGATTCAGTGGGTCAGCAACCGCTACCTGGACTTCAGCTCAAAGGAAGTCAAAGAGTAAGTGACAGAGATTTAAAAAAAAAAGTTAAATCCTTTATTGTTGGCCTTAAAAGTTGCAGAGATATTTAATGTGGAAGTAAAATGAATGTGTTTGGATTGCCGTTGAACCTAAGTGCACCAAGCTGCTGAGGTGGGGTGATCTGTGCAAAGTTAGAGTTCAGTATAAGTGGATTTGAAATGAAGGTAGATCAGATCAGGCGTAATACTTACTTTCATCCACTGAGGATTACCATAGCAGAAACGGTGACTGCTATAGTTCATAGCAGAGATGTGTTCTTGGGGTCAGAGAAGAGATCTGGGGGCATTTATATGTGAAGATCTGGACTTTAGTGAATGGTTGCAGAAAAAGATACAGTCAAGTCCCACGAGAAAGCTTTACACTAGCCTGTTTATGTCTCGGCCAACCAGCACCACTTAACTTTTTGTAAACAATTTTGTGTGCCGGGACATAATTAGTGTTTAATCTCCAGGATTACAGTGTCTTGTCCTTCATGAACCAGTGTCTTGTCCAATCAGCAGAGGACATGGCAGCACTCCAGTAACAGCACTGCCAGTCAAAAAAAGTGTAGCCAGAGATGCTCACATTAGCATAAACTAAGGACAACAGCGTTATCATGAAAACAGGAAACAGCTATGCTTTAGAGCTTTCTAATTGGGCAGCATTTGGGGTCAGTGTTGTTGTGGTGCCATTACAGGTTTTTGTTGTACTTATAGATGCAAGATATCACATTCACTGCCAACTTTCTTAGTAACAGTAACTCCAGAATTATTCTACATCATAAAGTCTCTGTGCTTTTGACCAAAAAGTTGTCTGGGTCATAATTCGGAAAGCTCAAGTAGGTGGTGACATTTCTCGAAATAACCGATACATATCTGACACCCCCCAGTTCTTTGTGATCCAATTACACTTGTCTTTCCATTGACCTACTACTCTCAATCATAGTCAAGATCAGCTACTCAGACCGAGCAGTGATTCTAATTTCAGTGTTTGAGTGCCTGCCTTCTTGCTTCTCGCAGTTGTTCAGACCTTAATATGTACTCCTTGAGATAGTTTGAAACAGCAGTGTATGATGGAACATTTTAGCTGACGACTGAATGCCAATTCAGGCTAGCTTTGTGGAGGTTGGATAGCTGATTTAATGTTTTTTATTGTCAAGGTAAGATTGTACTGCAAAGTATAATACAACAACTTTTGACCTGGAGTAATGTATGGATTCCAGTTAAATCTGAACGAAGGGAAGTCTAACACAGGTGTGCTAATTCAAGTAACAGCCCATTCCTGGCCTTTAACATCATCTTCCCCTTCACTGTTCCTCTTCTTCCTAGCCGCATTGGCAGTAATGTTGATGGCCAGTATCTGATGGATGGAGTGCCCTTCAGCTGCTGTAACCCCAGCTCCCCCAGACCCTGCATTCAGGCACAGATGACCAACAACACTGCCCACTACAGTTATGACCACTACACAGAGGATCTCAACGTGTGGAAGCGGGGATGCCGCGATGCCCTGCTGTTCTACTATGGTGGCATGATGAACACCATCGGAGCCCTGGTGATACTGGTCACTATGCTGGAGGTCAGTGCCACAGACTTACTTAAATATATTAACTGAAACAATGTTCACTTCTTAGTTGGAAAATGTAGCTCTTTCCAACTTCATTTAAAAGTTAGAACAATCCCATGCACTATCCACTGCATGGAGGAATGGAGATCGTGCATAAATGTCTAATTAAGTCTTCTACTGCAACATTGTCTCTGTCTAATATTGGTTTTGCAAACAGTATGTCCTCATTAATCTATTCACATGGAAAGAAAATAAACAATAGAGGGGACTGCTTGAGAGCTCTTGAGTGTTTCAGTTGTAGTGGGCGTTTTTTTTTAAATACCCCAATTGCAGAAGTGACCTTAATGCACAAAATATTGTTGTTGTCACACCTATTACAGAAAAGTATATATTTCCATGTCCACTGGTGGAAGGCTTGTTTGAAGATACAAACAGCTGGTCTTGGCATGTCAATATCTAGAAATAGCAACAGCCTTGCTGATAGCTAAATTGAAGCCAGGCAGGTGTGTTAGTCATTTTAATCAGAAATACAGAGTTCTTTGGAGCACTACTCTAGCCTTGAAATCTGTTGGTGGAGCCTACAATAGAAACAACTGATAGGAAAATGGGCACCAGACAATGTTTTCCCATATTCCCAATGGGCTTAACATCCCAAGAATTCTGAACAGGGAAAAGCCTCATTTGAAATGAGAAATAGTCTGGAAAATTGTTATGTTCAGAAAAATAATACAGATAATTCAGCCTATTCGATCTGACAAATCAGAGATATTTATGTGTCTAAGTGTTTTCTAGCAGTACTTCCCATTTTTTTTTATATCAACAAAGACAAATTGGTTAGTCTGGCAACTGGTTAACCTCCCCTTCTGTCCTTAACCTATGACTTCAGTCCAATTCACTTCCATGCAGTAGGTTAGACAGTCTCTAACAGGCCTAGCAATACATTTCAATTTGCAAGAGTCACTTTGAAGAACAATTGGAACTAAATATGTTGATTTTTTCTTCAAGGCAAATCAGTTCTCAGTTTACTTTTTACTGAAATTCTCGAGTTACCTCATCACATTTGCTCCAGTTGCATAGTGGGCCTAAAACAATAGATACCAACTTATAACATTCCTGCACACATTAAGGACAGCAGCTTCCCTTCTCAGCAGATAAAAGTAACAACAGCCTTCTTAAGTCACAAATATTGTACCTGTATCCGACTAGATTTTAATCATTTTCAGTTAAATGACTGAAATTGAGAGAAAGTCTTTAATGTCCAGCTAGTAGGAAGTCAGGTGAATAAACATGCAAAGCCTTGACCTAGTTGGCATTTCTTCCATCAGTTTCCTCCATCCCTGCTTCTTCCCTTCTTTCCACAGTCTGCCCACGCTATCAGTAATACCCACTTACTGCATCTCTTTCCCAAACACCGCTATCCTCTTTACCTAAATATATTTTCTCCTGCCCTACTATCGAGATACCCTGTGCCACCTTTGGCACGATTTAGCTCACCTGCGGTTTCTCACCTGCTACTTTCTACCTAAATCCTGTAACAGCCATGTGTGTCCTCTTTCCTCTCTTTAACTTTCTCCTTGGCCTCCACAGCCAACATCTGTGGTTGTTTGTAAAGCCAAAATATCTGCCTATGATTATGCAGAACAAATAGACATGTACAGGTGAATCCTTGAAGCCAGTGACCACAGCGATGATATAAATTGTTTGGGTTCCTGCATCACCTTGAGGAGACAGTAAATAGAGCCATACAGATAACATCTTTGCTCCAGAAATCCAGCAGACAATTGTTTGTTGTAAAAACACAGCTTCAGCTAATCAGATGCACGCTCGGAGGAATCCTAGATTTAAAAGAGGAGTTACGCAAGCATCTCTGTGCCGACACATATGGGTTAATCTGCAAGAGGTGACAAGGAAATACTTATTTCCAGGAGTCTGATCTCCTGATCTGATGTCTCCATTTACAGTAACTGGATCTTAACTGTCCTAATGAGATGTTAGCCCTATAGGCTATAGATTACTTCAAGAATTTAAAAAAGCTCCTAATTTCATTTTCCTTGCTTGAATATTTGCCTTAACACAACATATTTGCAGTATATTACACAATTTCTGACTCAGATACATTTATTGAAAGATGTAAAGTTGTATCATCTTTTCATGTCCTACTTATAAAAACCATGCAAACATTTCTAAGCATTTAGAAGATATTCAAAATAATAGCTGAAGATTTTTTCTAATTATTAGTGAAACTGGAGTTCTGAATTTAATATTATTACACTGGAAAACATCAGATATTTTCCATTTTTGCTTTAAAATTTAATTAAAGGATTTATTAAATTATCTGAAAGAGCATTACTTAAGCTGAAATGTAATTAATAATCAGAATTGTTATGCTGCAGCAGATTTTTAGCATCCATGAGTGCTAAAATTCACTACGTACAACTGATGCATTACAGTGGACCTATTATACCTGGTTTGTTAAATTAAAGACAACTACATAGCGGAATTATAAGAATGAGGTCATCCCACATCTGCACTGAATGCTCCATTTTTATACTTTTGGATTTGTGTGATGTCTTAAAGAGGGGATATTCAAATGTGGGCATCCCACACAAACAGCACAGTCTGTGAACACCGCCTATTACTCCAATCTTCTGCTTGGGCAGGGCAGCCAATCAGAGAAAATCATGCATCATGCAGCACCAAGACCCAGTAGAAGATGAAAAATTTTTTTTTTAGCTGAAACAAGCAATGTTATTTAAGTATATTCCAAGAATAAAATATGGAACTATAGATGAGTAGAACAGGCCCATTAATTTGGAACTGAGCAATGGTGATACTTTTCCTTTGCTCTGATTTGAAACTTCCAGTAATGATGAGAATACAGATTTTTGTCTAGATATCCTCTGATAATTAGCTAATTGTCTTGATAATATTATGTTCTAAACCGCAAACAACATTTGTTTAACTTCAATGCAATGTCTTCCTTCATATACGGTAATATCATTTTTCCATCTTTCTGATTAAACTGGAATTTCAATCAAATTATTGTAGCACAAGTGTATAATAAATTCCCTTCTTAAACGTTTTCTTTCATGTGGCATGGCTACATTTCACATTAAGTTTATCAGATCTGTGTTCCTGTTCCTTGCAGGCTAGTGTGACTGTGGGCATGCAGTATGTCCACAGCTCCCTGTGTAACCTTGCTAATCCGGAGGATCCAGAGAGCGAGAGCGAGGGCTGGCTCCTGGAGAAGACAGTGAAGGAGACGTTCACTGACATCATGGACAAAATGAAGTCCATGGGCAAAGGCATCAAGGTGGAGGAGGGTGAGCCAGTGGTTGAAACAGTGAGCTGAGCTAGCGCCACCTGAACAAACTGACCCCACTCCCACCTGAGGAGAAAATCAAAGACATGTGAGATTTTTCTACCAGCATTTATTTTGTAGGCCTACTCATATATTTGGTTATGAACTCATTAGAAATGGACGTGAAAAGATCATATTACATATTCATACTTTGATAAATAGCAGCTGGATGGGTTTTTAGTTTTGGTTTTCCCCAGTAAAACAACCACCAGCATGGTTTTTGGTTTTTTTGTTTGTTTTTGCACCAGCATGTTTTTAATTAGGTTTACAGTTCTTCTTTCTGACACTTTGTGCATTTTTTTCTCCAAAAAAAGTGCAAAGTTATAAAACAAGTAAATGTTATATGTATTGAAAGCATGTAATTTTCTCCTTTATTTTGCTGTCACGTAGTTTGGCGGGGATGGTGGTTGCTATGCAATCCCCCCCTCTCATGGAACCCAATGGTGCAGATTGAAGATATTTAACTCAGGTTTTGCAATGTTTTATTTTTGCTAACCCGTCTAGGCTACTTTATAGTCAAAGCAGACAAATTAACCCCTCTGACTTGCTTCCATTTATACTCCAGTTCGCTGGATAAGCAGCTGAGATGGAGTATAATTTTCAATTAAATGAATCAGTCATGCATGAACAGTGCAACACATGGATCAAGACTCAGCATGGGAATCAGGAGGTTCAGAAACATGGGGTGACTCCAAACCTGTGGCCTGAAATTGGCAGCTAAATCTTGGTTCCTGACCCCTGTACTGTAATCTCAGATCCTCTTTGATATTTCCCTAGTGCATTCAGTATCTGTATATTGACATGTGTATGTACAGTATATAACTTTGTATATGACGTAGAAAAGATGAAAAATTACTTTTTTAAAAGAATGTAATTAAGTTGAATCTTTTATTTGAATCAATGTAAAGTTGTTTTTCTTTTTTCCAAATAATTTTCTTGGCTTTGTGTGACTGTGTAGAGGAGAGATTATGCTGACTGTATACGCGAATAAAGGATATTAGAGACGACATACAGCAGTGCAATGATGGTGTTGTGTTGTCTCGACCTTGAGTCATGAGGCATGCTGTGAGTGCCACTGGGTTCCTTATTAAGCCAATAGGATAAGGCCTATTAAGGTATTAGTGCTTTCACATGGCCATGGGATGACTTTTCACATGTCCAATGTAAGGACATGTGTGTACAGTATGTGTGTGTGCTTGAGGAGGAGCTATGCACGGGATGCATTCTCAAGAAACATGCAACAAATGTTACTCTCACTTGTTCTTTTCTTTGGTTTTATGCACTTTTTGTGACTTAAACCTACTCTAAAATGAGGTTTGACTTCAGAGGGTGCAAGTCGGAAAATCCTTTGATCTCTTTGGTTGATATATTGGTAAATAATAACCTGTAAGGTACTCTTTATCCATCCTGTTGAAACTAAATCCGCTAATAACGTGTGTATCTGAATCGAAAGCCACATGTTCTCAAAACTTTAGCCATGAGGAATTACGAGCCATGATATTAAAGCCAGTGTGGTGTTGTTAGAGCAGATGTGAGGGAGTGCTGTGAAGAGTCAGCAGGAACGGCAAAGAAGCCAACTCTGTGCTGTATTTTTGTTGGACCAAAGCACATAACCAGCGCTGAGTAGATAAGAAGCTTAATCGGCTTTAGATTAGCATGAACCCCTCGACCAGGTGAGCAGGTGATGTCCTGCTGCAGGATTCGAGACACGAAAGACAGAGATAGAGACAAACAAGGGAAAGTGAAGATCAGGGTGGTATAAAAGAAAAATAAGGCACCACTTTATTGAATTTCTTTCTTCTTCTTTTTTAAATATGTGAAATTAAAGTAACTTCTTGAAGTATCACATAAAAGCATTTATTATCCATCAGGTAATCACTGACATTTTAATGTTGGGGCTTTATAAAATGTAGTAGTCAAAAAATAGCATTGCAGTTCAGTATCTAAATGCAAGTTCTTAATTTCCACTAGAGCTATAGTGTCAAGTATTTAGCTGAGTACCTAACCAAAAATAGCATTGCAACACAGAGAAAGTACTCAGGTGCAAGTGAAAATACTACATTCAAAAGTCATAATTACACAGCTTTATTGTAGGTCTTCACCCAACATTATAAAGAGGTTTGAAGTGTTGGTTGTGATTGTGATTGTTGTGATTTGGCCCGATATGAATTGAATTGAACATGACTCCATATAGGTGTTGTATTACTGAATAATTGGATCATTCTTGTCATTGTCAGTTTTTAGTAGTGGAGATATTTTTATGCTCTTTAATTTCTTGGATGATTTAATCTATTAAAAAATACATACTTTATTAGAAATAGATATGTTTTGTCTGTTAAAATGCAAAGTGAAAAGTAATTGGGTGGCTAAATTATTAAATGGACAAGAAATAAAACATATTGGCCAAAATTGGAGATATTGGAAGTAAAGAACTGTGCTGACTAGATGTAGATACTTTGTTTCCACCCCTGTGTTTATGTTTCTAATGGCCCACTCATATTTGTTTGCATAGTGCATTAAAAAAAAGCATCTTCTCCTTTTAATGGTAATACACCTGCAGAATATGTGACCATGCAAACAAGGTTGAGTATTGTCTTCAGACAGTGAGTACTCCCTCCCACAGAGGCAGCTTCTAAACTTTTAATCTGCTAAGAGCATCCTATACGTCGTCTGTATTCTGCTGCTCTCTGTTGGTGACTGCAGGTAACCAGCTGTGACCAAATCATGCTGACCGTCATGTTGATCTATTTAATTAATTAAGTCCAGCAGTGACAGTGTGACTGTTCTGTGACAATGTAATCTGTAACAGAACAATCACGCTGCCACAGCTGTTCTCATAAGTACAGCTAACTTTTATAATCTGCCTCTTTCGATTTATTTTATTTGGATTCCAAATTTCATATTTTTCGGTGGCAAACTGGGTGCTTTGTAGAGCTTTAACTGAATGATTTCATTTACATTAGAAGCCCACAAGAGGGTGTCTTTCCATCAGTGATGATGCAGCAGGCGTGGCCTTCTCATTGTGGAATGAAGAGGAACTATATTGCTTGAGTTTCGTTTAATTAATCTGTTGACAATTTCTTTAAAAATAATTTAGACTTAGAAAAGAGAAAACTGTTAAAAAAATGACACCAACTTTTTGAAATTGTTAAGTAAATAACCTATTATTTGCTTCCTTCCTCATAAAATAGTTTGCATGTAAAACATCAGAAACCATTTTCAAAAAGTTCATTCCAGGCAGCTGCTCTTTCAAAATGTAAAATATAACATGCATACAACGATATGGCACAATAACTCTTATTGCTGTAAAAGCTGAGACACACTAAACAGATCAAATCAGTTATTAAAAAACAAATAAAATGAGAAAAAAATGGTCATTTCTAATTGGTGATTGAAATTCTTCCATCCCAGTGAGACATAAGAAAATATGCAGCAGTGTTGGAGTTCTTGCTATGTAAATACTTAAAAAATACTAACCAAGCCCCCAGTCTCTCATATATGAGACTTGTTTAAAAATCAGTGCATTAACAACTGATGCTGAACATTAATTATTCATAAAGGAGTGGCACTTATGAATACATGCAAGATTCGAGGTGTTTATTAATTATTTAACGCGATAATGAACATGCAAGGTGTGATGTGGTTGCAGAGAGGCAATGAGTGACACGAGCTCTAATATTAGCCCGTTGACCTTGACGCTTCTGTCAATGGTCAGGGACGCTAGCTGCTATCACATCTCACTTTACACTTCACTATGGGCCTGAATAAATATGGCAGACAGAAAGAAAAGCAGAGAGAGAAAGTCAGAGAGAGAGAGAGCGAGCGAGAGGCCCGTGACTGGTAGATGTGTGGCCTGTTCAGAGGGGCATTGTTAGAGCTATGAGAGGACAATGCACTGCCCCCGCCCTGAATACTCGCCATACCAGCTGACCAGCCATTACCAGCACTGCTGCACCGTTACAATTCCTGCTGCTCGGACACACACAAACACGTACACACACGGCCTCAATCATAAGTTTGGTCTTACAAGGAAAAAACACACTGTGTGTATAACACTGGAGAGAGGAGAGAAACCAGGTGGGAGGCCAGCACCGCCTGACAAAAGGCTTAAGCTGAGGCATGCATGGGCACACAGACTGTGTCGCCACTATGTGTGTGTGTGTGTGTGTGTGAGTGGACGCGAACATGCGTGTGATTTACAACAAGTTAAGTTTAGACCCTCGCACCTATCTGTTTCTTCAGCAGTAACATTTCTCCTGCTGGAGCAGCAGCAGCAGCCGTAACCACCCACAAAGGACAAATGCAGCACTCACACCATCTTATTATTTCAGTGACAAAAGTCTTCAAAGCGAAGGGTGTGAACAGGAGAGGAGAGGAGAGTTTTCCACTGGAGGATGAGTACAGTACTACCAACAAAAAGCAATTAGAATATATACATATACTAATTAAGAGGCACCTCAATGTTAAATTTCGATCTTAGGGCTGTGTGTTCTTAACTGATAAATATAATCTGTGTAAAACTGTAATCTGAAAAGAGAAAATCAGCTGTCAATTTTGAATCTATTGGCCAAAATCTCCTTTCAAATAGGAAATTTTTGCTGCTTTTCTCTCTATAGGTGGCTGGATCAAGTGACCATTTCCTGACATTAAAAGCAATCAACATATCAATCATTAATAAATGCAATCAGCAGTGTTGGAAAGGTCTTCGTTCATTTATTCAAGTACTGTACTTGTGCACAGCTGTGAGGTGCTTATATTACTGATTTAACACCTGCATATGAAACACTTTTTTTATTTGACAGCTTCAGCCCACTTCAAGGTTATTTTTTATATACATGTATAGAATACACAGCTCAGAGTAAACCAGTGATTTCCAACATGTGTGGCTTGCGACTTCTTATGAAAGCAATGTTTCAGACATTTAGGAGCATTTAGGTTTCCCTTTAAACGTCTCTGATTAAAGGATCAAATGTAGGAATAAAAGTGTTGATAAAAGCTTAGATTTTTGCAGTTCGTATTCCATTAATCATCTCATGTCCCCTTAAGCTTATCTTAGAGGCTGGGACTCCCTGCTGTATAGGATGAATACTGCTGTTTTCAGTTGCTTCAGTCACAGTAATATCATGTCTGATCATTTGTCAGTCACAAAGGTCATTTTCCAGGTCATTTTTCAGAATACCTATCTTTGAAGTTTTGATTTTACATTAAATCATGCACAACTTTTTTTCTAGTATTTTTACTGGCTATTATTTGGCAGTTTTACTTTTCATTTATTTCTATGTTGTCATTAGTTATTGTGATTGATTATTGTTGTGTACCATCAAAAATATAATATTTTCCATAAATGCCTTTTCCTGAAAATGTTTGTCAGCATAACCAGTTTGAGGAGGTGTTGGTGCCTGTGTTTAGTGAGACTGGGAGGTATACTGGGAGAGTATACCCCCCCGTCTGTGTTTGTACTGGTGTACCGTTCAGTTCTGAACGTCACATCTGCTACCCCTGACAAAATATAAGCCGTGCTACCCATTACATAACGAAGGAAAAGGAAAATTAGTACTGAAAACTCGTGAAAACTAAACCAAAAATCGAACATATTTATAAGAAAACCTAAACTGTAATGAACAGATCTACTGAAATCAAAAGAAAACGAATCCAGTAAGGTAAGAAAAAGTACAATCGTCCTCTCTGCAGGACTTTAAGTTAAAAAAAATAATAATAAAGTGCATGAACCTCAAAACATTCAGATCCTGGGGGCGTACACCCTTCATGATTCGAGTGATGGACAGTAACTGTTGTAGAACAGGTGTGCATACTATGCTGAGCTGTTTTATTGTTATTCAGTGTGTGTGTGTGTGTGTTTTTGTTGTCGTGTGTGTGTGTGGTGTGTGTGTGTGTCGCGGGGGTCAGGGAGACAGAGGGGTGCTGCTTCTCAGGCTGCTGCTGCTGCCGAGGGGACGGGCACGAGCCTCCTCCTCCTCCTCCGCCCATCTCACAGATATCGGCTTCGCG